CGGTACCAGCCACCGCCGGAGGAGGAGGCAGGCAGGGCTGCCGGCAGAGCAGGCGGGCTGTGGGATGGGGAGAGCCGGAGCTGGCTGCCGGCACAGCTCCCGCAGCCGCGGATGCTCCGCTCGGGGAGGCGGCACGGCTGGAGCACACGCAGCTCTCAGGGATTGAAGCCAAGCCCGTCCTTCCACCGAGCACGAGGCATCCCCTGCCCAGCCAAGGGAAGGCGGCTCAGGGCAGCAGCTCCGCTCGACCCGGCCCTGCTGCTCTGAGGCTGGGGCTGCAGCTCAAAGCACTCCATTTTGCTAAGGATGGATCTACACCTCCGACCTGCTTGGAAAGGTCGAGGCAATGCCTACTCTTGTTAAACCAGCCCTTGTGCCTCTTGTTTCAGACAAAGAGAGCATCTCATTCATATTTCATACAGGCTGCCAGTGATTTTAAATCCCTTCAGAACTTCCACTCGCTCTGGAGATCTTGCTGCGTGTCAGTGGTGACCCGGCTTCCCAGGAGAGACATGCTGAGCTGATTTGCACCATTTTCACTGTCACCCATATTATTCATTTCCTCAGCAGGCAGGCTGCTCTGCAGTGTCTTACTAGGTGCAATGCTTCCCAATTGTCTAGCTCTGGGTATATGCTCTGAATTACCTTTTGATTTAAAGGTCTCCTGACAATCCTAGCCAGTGATTCCCTCACTTTTTTCCTTTTCTTTGTATGCAGTTACTTTCTTCATTTCCATTTCCCCTGTCAGGTTTTTTTGCAGATATCTCTTTCCAGCTCTCTAGTAAATACTTAAGGCTGCATTGTTTTGCAAAGACCCGTCCAGATTTTTCCATTTTGACTTTTGGAGTTTTGTTTCTCACACATGTGAGATGTGAGAGTTGCTTTTGGCTGAGAATAACCAAATGAGGAGACATCACTAGTTTCTCAGATTTTTAACGAAGATGGAGAATCTTTCACAATTTTTCTTTCACTGGTTTAGTCAGAAACATAGATGATGTAGTTCTTAAGCTATAAAACATCCTCCAGTTTCACTGGAGAGGATATTGGGAGGGGGGAAAACCTATAAAAATGTTGTGATCCTCTCACTGTAGCGACTCAGAAAAAAAAAGAAAAAAGGATAAGGAGAGGGGACTTAAGTACTTATATAGATTATGCTATCACTAGAAAGAGCAATGCAAATGAACTCTCTGAGCCGTGATCCTACAGGGAACAGCCCCCACACTGCCTCGAAAGGGGCCTCCACGGAGGCTCAAAGGTTCTTGGAGGATTTGTTGTGGGAATACCTATTTGAATTCCTGCTGAGCTGGGGCTGCCGGGGGCCGTGGGAGGAGGGTCAGGCCCTGCTGCCGCCAGCTGTGGGAGGCGGGGGCCTGCGGGAGCAGCCGAGGCGGCAGAGCCTAGATCTGCTCCAGGAATATGCTGAGTGTCTGGAGTGACGGCTCCTGGAGTGACTAAGGCATCATCATGACAAACCAGGCACTGCTTTAGGAGACACTGTGCCCAACGGGAATGTACTTTTTCCAGATACTCTTCACACTGATCATCTTTTGTTTCACGAGTAATTTAGAGATTACCAGGATTATATCTTGGCTGACTGTGTGTTGGGGATTTTACTGTTTACTTATAAAATATTAGAAATAAATTGTCTAGGGTTAAGTTTAATTGTAACGTGCTGACAGTTTAGCACAAGTGGGTCCTGCTGAAAGCTTGGTGTCAGGGAACTTTAAATAAACTTTGTAAGCAGGGACAGCTAAGCAGGGGAGTAAACAAAGAAAGACTGGGTGTCTTCAGATAAGAGTTGAGATCCTGAAGTGCCCCAGGATGGAAGAAGCAATTAACGGCCTGCCCATGTGGACATGAAGAAAGAACTCCATGAGGTATCAGAAGACTGCGGACCATAAACCACCAATGGCGCAGGAAGATCAGGTGCACAGACTGTGAGGATATAAAAGCACAGAGATTTCTTTGGGATCCCTCTCCAGAGGCACCATCTCGAGCTTAAAGAAACTGACTCTGGCTCAGAACCTAAGGTCCAAACTGTTCCTTTGTACAGCAAAACTTCAGAGGTGACACAATTCACAGCTGAGTACCTGGAAAAAGTCTTTGCATCACATAGATGGCAGGAAATTTGGTGTACAGATGTGTTTGAAGTTCTTGTTGGGGTAGCTGATATGGAGTACTCAGCTCTGAAAGCAGTTGTGCAACTCAGCTTCTCTTGTGTGAGTCACGGGACAGCTGGAACCCTTGAAGCTTGAAGGATACCAGATACCAGTGTGGGAGCTGTGGGTTGTATGTGGTGAGTCAGGAGAGTTTGACCAGACAGCACAAGCTGTAGAGCATGTCAAGGTCTTCTACCAGTGTGTCTGGAGGACTCGGACAGGGAGAAGGAGGAGGATGACTGGGATTACTTTGCGTGATGTGTTGAGCCTTGATTGAGGTTGCATTCTGAGAACATGGTGTGATTCTGGGCTTGTTGCTGATTGTGGTAAAGACCTAGAAATACAGTTTCACTGTAATCCACTGACAGCTGTAAATGCCTGTTATGAAGCAGACACAGTCATCATGTCTCCTGGTCACTGTGTTCTAGGGGGCCTGCTCTGCAGTGCTGATTCAGTTGAACTCAAAGGCTATGGCTTTTACATTGTGGTAAAATAAACAAAAAAAAAGGAGACATCTTTCTTGATTGTACATAATCCAATATAAGATCTACAGCTTGAAGTGAATGCAACATGAAGTTGTGAAGGAGGTTTTAAACATCCATCATGGGGAAAAACACCCTGGAGAATTGTGTGTTACACTGTGGAACCAGAGGCATAACAGTGCAGACATCAGCAAAGCTATTAATGAAAAACTCAGATCTGCGTGATGCCAAGGGTGCTGGTGTGGGAATATATCCAGGTAATGCATAAACTCTGTTGAGCAATGGTATGTACTTGCTGCAAGGAGAGAATTCTTATAGATGACTTCTTAGATGAATATTATGACATTCCAAAGGTAATTATGATCAATAATGGGATCCATAGTAATAAAGGATATGATGTGGTCCTGGTCAGATCAGTGATGGTCTCTGAGTCAGAACAAAAGGGAACACACAGCCCACCCAGTCGGGGGATGGCCAGCCTGTATAGAAGCTTCAGGCATGAATAATTACCTGAATGCACAGCTTCATGAGAGACCTGACATTTCTGAGCAAACTGAAGGTAACTTCGAAATTGCAAATGAACTCGGGGCTACTTCTACAAAGAAGACCGGATGAAGTGACAAAAGATGACTGAGTGAACTGTCTTGTCCTAAAAGCAGATCTTGTTTTGCCATGGAAACGTTATTTCCTCCTGCTTTACTGTATATGCCACAGCTCTGCTGTTTCCCATCCTTCCCTACAGAGCCTTAGCCGCAATAGGAATCAGCCTCGCCGATCCTCCAGCTCCTGCTGCCTATCCCACCCTTTCTCCATTTCCTTCCCCTCCCCGTCCCGCCGCGCCTCGGGGGCGGGAGGCAGCAGCTGCCGCCTGTGCGGCTCTCCGGCAGCCCGGGCCAGCCGCCCCTCCTTCCCCCGGGCTGCTCCGGAGCAGCCGGCACGTAGCTGCTGGGCCGGGCGAGCGACCGAGAGACGCTGGGGCGGCCTAAGTGGTTACAGATGTGCAGCTGCATCGAGCTGGGGTCACAGCGGCGAGCAAGGTTTGGGGAGGGGGTTTCGCCCGGCAGAGCAACGGCAGCTTTAGGACAGAATCAGTCTGAAAAAGACTTCCGAGATCGAGCGAAACCTGTGACCAAACAGGATCGTGTCAGCTAGACCATGGCACTAAGTGCCAGGTGCAGTCTTCCTTCAGCACCTCCAGGGACGGTGACTCCACCACCTCCTTGGTGGTGCCGCTTCCAGTGCCCAATCACCTTTTCTGTGATGAAAGTCTTCCTAATGTCCAGCCTAAACTCCCTACAGCACAGCTTAAGGCTATGTTCTTTCTTGGGCTGTCACTCGTTCCCTGGGAGCAAAGCCCGATCCCACCGGGGCGGGGGGGGCACCCTCCTGTGAGGGAGTTGTAGTGAGTCTCCCATTCTCCAGGCTAAATAAGCTGCCTCAGCTGCTTCTCATAAAACTTGTGCTCCAGACCCTTCATCAGCTGTCTTTCCTTCTCTGGACACACTCCAGCACCTCAATATTCCTGAACTGAGGGGCCCAGAACTGGGCAGAGCACTCGAGGTGTGGCCTCACCAGTGCCCAGTACAGCGGGGCGATCGCTTCCCTGGTCCTGCTGGCCACACTATTCCTGATAAAGGCCAGGATGCCACTGGTCTTGTCCACCTGGGCACTCACTGCTGACTCGTGTTCAGACAGCGGCTCCCTGCGGGCTGTGAGACATCACCTCCGCCCCAAGCACGCGGGTTCTTGGCTCTGACTGCGAGACCCGGGGCTGGGCGGCCGGGCCCGAACAGGAAATGCCACAGGCCTTGCTAATGGAGTACTGAGGCCTCCTGTCACCCCCGCGGGCACAGCTCCGGAGCTCCCCGGCCCTGAAGGAAGTGGCGCCTGACGGCGGGAAGTGTCCGGGCCAGGGCAGCCAAGGCTCCCTCCTCCAGCACGGCTCCCCCCAGGCTGCAGTGCGGCCAGGTCTGAACCTGTTCCCGCCGGAGCCCGTGGCCGGGAGCCCAGACACGCCGCAGGCCCTTGGCTGCGATTTGAAATCGGGGTGGCCCCTCCTCGCCCCCGCCCCCGCCTCCCTCAGCCTCTCACGGCCGAGGGGAAGGGTCGGGCTGCCATGGCAACCCCATCGCCTTCGGGGGCGGAGCCCGGGGCGGGACAGACGGGCGTTATAGCCAATCGTAGAGGCGAGTGGCGCCTGCCGGGCCTGGAAGCAGCCAATAGAAGCCGCCGTCGTTCTTTGGTGGGCGCGGTCTCCCGGAAAGGCCCGCCCCCGGTGGACGCGGGTGCCTTTGTGGGGTTTGACAATAAGATGGCGGGCGGGGAGAGGCGGGGCCGGCTGGCTCCGCCCGTCCCTCAGGCGCGGAGCGGGCGGTGAGGCGGGAGCGGAGTGCGGGCTCTTGGGCGGGCGTGCGCTGGCGACAGCAGCGGCAAGGCTGTGAGTACGGTGGGCTGAGTCGGGCCGGGGTGGGTCGGATCCGCGGAAAGCCGGTGCCGGCGAAACCCATGGAGGGGACGGGGTCGATTCAAAATGGCGGCGGGAGCGCGGGCGATGTGTAACCGCCGGGAGCGCTGAGGGGGCCGGGGCGGGCGGGACAGGGGGCCTGTTCCGCACCTCTCCTCCGTTCGGTCCCTTCCGCAGCCGTGCTGCCTCATCGGCCGCGCCTCAGCCGGGCACTCCGCTACCCTCCCACCACCGGGGAGCTCCCCCTCGCTCCCCGCCCTGGTCCCGCCTCTCCCCCCGGCTCTGCGGGCTCCCCCCGCTCAGCGCTCCTGTCCCCCGCCTGCGTTTCCACGAGCTCCTAGCCCAGCTGCCCAGCCTGCCCTTCCCCGGCTGCTGGAACCTCTTCCTAAATCTCGAGTGCTGGAGAGCTGCCTGCAAGCCCCCTACGCCCCAGGGTGGACAGACCCTAGTGCTTTATAGAGGCCTTTGTTCCAGTCCGAATAGCGATGTTTCTGGCCTTAGCAGCCCTCTGCTGTGTCTGCATCCCACCTTGTACCTCGACACCACCATATGGGTACACGTGCATTGTTAAAGAGGAGGAGTAGCTCTCTTTCCGTCTTTTTCTCCACTGTTCCACAGAGCTTTGGTTTCTTCCCACGGTTCTTAGAAAAGCCAGTGTTGAAGCGGAGAGGATTAGAGTGGTAGAGGGGACATACGGCCCCTTCTTGCCTTCTTGTGCTAACCATCATCACTGTACTCGGCTGTACAAAAAGCACCACTGTGCTTCACAACCTCCAGCACTGGCCTAGGTAGGTTTTGTCTGCTTTCTCCTAAAGATGAGCACTGCTGAATTCCCTATCTTCTCTGTTACCCCAGTTAATGGGAGGCAGCTTTTTCCCTTAAGTACTTAAGTATATCTTTGGCAGCATATCACTATATGAGTCTGAATTGAGTGTGAACCTGGAGTTCTGAAGTTGATGCTCTAATAAGAATTGGAGCAAATTTCAAGCCTCTTACTTGTAAAGCAGACTGGGAATTTGTCAATCGTAAAAACAAAACTTATAATGAATTGCATAATACTGTGCTATTATTTTCTAAAAACAACAAAACCCACAAAACTCCTTTTTCCTAGTGCACTATGCTGCAGCTAGCTGTTGTCTCCTTGACAACATTTATTTTGCGTAGATGTTTCAAACAGCAGTTTAGTGGAACACACAAAGTTTGGGCTCATGACACTGGGATAGCAGAGGAAGAAAGAAGATGATGCTGCCTCTTGGACAAATAAAGATGCTGCTTGAATTTATCAGGGGATTTTGAACACCTTGACTCTGAAGCAGCAGCAGTCTTGCTCTGGTGTACCAAAAGGTTTTACACAATGGCTAATGCCTTTTTGAGTATATTAATACATAAATCAATAGGAAAAGGTACTTAGATTTTAATTAATTAAGTTTCAAATTTAGCATTCTCTTGAGAAGAGTGCTTATTTGAGATAATGCAGAGAAGTCTGGAGGAGGTCATTTGTGTGCAAGGTTTTAATTGCATCTGACAGTAGCTATGAAGTTAATATGCTTTTAGTGAGGTTTCTGAGGTACACAACTATGCCAGTTTATAGAACCCAAATAAATGAATGTTGTGATGGACATATTCTTCAACTTTATACTAACAGAGGTCCATGTGGTTTGGTTATTGTCCTAGAGAAGAACCTGGAATCACATGCAGCAGGTTTTACATATTACTATATTGCATGGGAAAGCTTTACTTTTGTAATATGTAAATGTATTACAGTCTGGACTGGTCTGCCCGAATCCCCTGTCATTTAGTTAGTGGATGTGATAATGGCTCTTTTACCAACAGCAGTGGTCCCCTCCTGTATTGTCCACTATTTTGCAAGGCAAACAGCCACAGCCTCTCCCCCTAAAATTGTCAGATATACCAAATAGCATCAGAAAATGTTCCAATTTATTTTTCTCATGACTGCACCATATTTACCTGTAGTTATTGGGGGGAAGTGTTTGTTGTGTTTTGCATGGTTGGGTTTTTTCAAATTAGGTTTATGTCCTTGTCACCTAACTCCCATAAATAGAAATTTTGGGATTCAAAATAGTTACCAGACACAGGCTGTAAAAGAGATCACTTTTCATTTATAAATGTTTTGAAACTGTACCTGGGGAGCAAAAACTTCTGAACTTTTATAGTGTCATAAAGTGCCAGAAATAAGAAATAGTTCACTGACTTGATAAGGTGTCTGACTGAAATTGTAGTTCAGATGCCTTAAGACACTGTTTCTAAAGTTGCTGTGAGCTCAGTCCATAAAAGAAAATAAGACTATGATTTGGCTGAAATACAGTTTCCATGACATAACATCATGTAGTTTGAATATCTGGGATCAAGTCAAAAGATTTTGGCTTGAGAATGTTAAAGGTGGAAAGGTGGATTTTGGTTTTTTTCCGTTGTGGTATTTTAACAAGTATGCAAGCTTCTTGAGGAAAAATATGTTTTCTGCACTCCCACCCCCAAGTCCTTTGTCAGCCATCTTCTTCCCCCCCCCATCCCATCTGTGAGCAAGCAATCTTGAGAAATTGTTTATTACTAGACAAAACAGAAAATAACAACAGATGTCCATGTGCATCTTCTTTTGTTTCTTTTCTAGGTATACACTTCAGTTGGAGACACAACTGACTTGTACTGCACAGACATGTCTAGAAAAGTATCTGAATTGTTTCCATAGTTTATTATAAAAGTTTTTGTAGCCTGTTAGAACAGCATTCTTTTTAGTTTCAGTAGTTAAGGGAATTGTTGCATGTGATGGGAAATTGTATTTGAGATATCAAATTTTATTATACTTAAATGGATTTAAAAACTCAGCCTTTATAGTTCAAGTAGTTTAATTACTGTCATTACTTTCATTATTGTCATCTTGCAAAATAAGTCTTAGTCACAAAGTTTCTGTGCTGGTAAAGGGAAATTCTCATGTTTTGCTATGTTACAGTTTTGTGTTTGTGCCACTTCATTTTCTCTAGATGCTACAGACATACATGTGTTTGTACAAGAAAGGTAGAAACTATAGTTTGGTAATAAAAGTAAAGGAAGACTTGCTGTCATTATAAAGTGAAAACTTTAATGCTCATATAAAAAATTTTTGTTTGCCCTTTAAATGGCAAAGGTGTAGGCAGAAGGGAGAGGCTAGTCCAAAGGTCAGGGCAGTAGCCTAGGACTTGGGATTAAACTAGTGTTTTCCTCCTGCTGCAGATTTTGGGGGTATTGTTGGCCAAATCACATTTGTGCTCTAATTGTGCATTGGGTTTAATTGTACTATTCATGTTTTTGATGCTCACATCATACCAGGATAAAGATACTGAAGCAAAACTATTTTGTTTTGCATCTCCTGTCTCTGCTTGACATCCTGCTTCCCTGTGCTTGGCAGGTGGAGCTGTCACTTTTACTGTATGGACTCTTGCTCAGTAGCATGGGAGAAGAGGAAGGACTGCATCAAACACAATTCCTGGTACGTCACTTTTTGCTTCTTAGATGAAACCGTAACCTGGTACTCTGTGCAGTCATGAGAACAGGATGACAAAGAACTGGCTTTATGATGTAAGATACTAATTGAAAGCAAGCTTTAGAAAAAAATCCAGTGAATGCTGTGAAAGATTTATCTTTAAGAATCAATAAATGTTTTTCGTCTGCTTCTAGGTGCCCAAGTGTGATGTATTGAGGTTTTCAAGTTTTTTCCTGTGTTCTGCTGGTGTGCCTTAGAAGGCATATAAATGCTAAATTATAAATGTCAGAAAACCAGGTTAGCATTCAATTGAAGTTTTAATTACTCTTCACAGGAATGTAAGTTGAAATAAAAGAAGCTTCAAACTCTGCACAGTGTTTTATGTTCAATGATTCAATCATACATAATTTGTACACAGTCCCAAAAGATATTTCTAGAGGTTGTTTCACATGGGAGGGCAGGGTGTGTTCAGAAATTATACAAGTGTAGGAAAAACTAAATAGGATATCCTTTGATAGGAAATTTGCAGGTATGTCTAAAAATCTGGAAAAGGATCTATTGAGAAACATCATGTGTTGTATTTAATAGAAGTAATGCAAGTATGTTAGGTTTCAGGATAAAATTTTAGAAGAAATGTCCAAAGTATTTAATCCATAGCTAATCCATGGATAGCTTTTAAGAAGTTATGAAAAATGACTACAAGACCAAGTTCATTCAATTCTGTAGTCTCTGCACATTATGATTTCTGAAGAGTTTTGTACCTTCAGTGGAAAAAATCTTTCAAGAGCGGGTAAATCCCAACGAAGGTTATTTCATGGATATATACAGCAATGTAACAAGTGTTGTACAGAGTCAGACCAAGTGTTTATCTAGCTACTGTGCTATTCCCAGGTTTTCACAGTAGATAAGCATGTAATGTATTTTGAAAGGAACAGTGTTGTTGCCTTTTAGTGGATTTTTAGAGTCTCTGAGAAAGCTGAGAGAGAATTCCTTGAAAATATGTGGAATGTACTGTAGCAACCTGAAAAGCAAGGCAGAGTTTAGGGCTTATCGAGGAAAATGGGAAATTATATAGAAAGACACTGCAATAGTATTTTGGTTTATCAGCTTTTAAAGTTGAAAAACTTTTTTGTTTGGGTCACTACCTTAAGAAAAAAAGTCCTCAAATAGTGGGCAAACAGGAATTCTAAGATCAGAAGACTTAGAAAGAAAATAAGGAAGAAGCATAAATGTAAAGATCAGGCACCAGCTTTAATTTACAGCCCAATTTTTATAAGACTAAAAGTGATATATACTACATTAAAAAAAAGTTACTTCATATTCCAGAGTACCAGCTGCAATATTTGCATGGGGTACTGTTGTCAAAATTAGTGCAATTCAGAAGAAGAGCTAAGGCTGGTACTTCAGAGGCACCCCTTGGAGAATTCAGCAAGTGATTTTAGGTGTGAATACTGAAAAGCCTGCATGCACCCTGTGTGTTTTTAGCTGTGAACCTAAGCTTTGAATATAGGAATTTTGCTATCTTAGTCAACTGGGAAAGGAATACAGGAGCCCACACAGAGGATGACTGTGACTATCCTTACTGGACTTGCCCAGTTCTTATTGGAATTACACAGTTCACTTACTCACCCAAGGAAGGGAACCGGAAGGACTGCTTTAGGCACCTCTTCTGAATGTCTCAAGTTACATAGAACAAATCTAGATATTACTCTATTTGTAGCCAAAACAAGCTAATCTTTTCACATATGCTGCCCATGTTTTATTTCTTTCATGTTACTTTGTTAGGCATATTAATGTTCTGGAGGGGTCAAATCTTTTAAAGATGGTATGCCAGGTTGTATTTTTATTTCCAAAATTAGAGGCTAAGCATGCCAGTAGAAACTCGGGAGGAGCGAGGAGAAACTGCCTCTCCAGTAGGTGAAATACAGCCGGTGAGATGTTTGCTTCTGTGCGAGGCATCAGCCCCTGACTTCCATCAAGTGTGGAGCTTAATGGGAGCCAGGAGCTGGGAGCCCCTGCCTCTCTCCGATGCCATGCCTTGTGGACCTGCTCACCCCTGGTTCCCGAATGTCGCCTTTGGGACCCGGTCCACATGTTCCTGACCCCTGTTGTACCACACTGGCCATTCTAGAACATGGTATGACAATTCTGATGTTTCTATCTTTAAAGAATTTGCTTTTTAATAAAAGATTAAAGTTCACTGTTCTCTTTTTTAGTACTTTTTTTTCCCTCCTATCTCTTAAGCTGTTTATGTTGTACATTATTATTTTTTTTTTATTTGTTTGGTTTTTTTAATAGGACACAATGTTTGTACGAGGATTGAAGAGAAAATGTTTTGATGGTGAAGAAGATATTGAAGGGACTCTGGCTGGTATTAAGGCTATCCCTTCCTATAATCTCCAGCGGCAGTCACTTTTAGATATGTCCTTGGTTAAACTTCAGCTGTGTCACATGCTGGTCGAACCCAACCTTTGTCGTTCAGTACTTATAGCCAACACAGTACGGCAGATCCAAGAGGAAATGACTCAAGATGGGACTTGGCAGATGATAAATACACAGAGTACAGGGCAGGCATCCCTGGATCGTCTTGTTTCAACAGATATCCTCTGCCGTTCATCTAGGGATCAAGCTGAGGGAAAGCATGTTCCAGCCTATGGTACTTTCAATAAAGACTTTGAGAGTGACCAGGGACAAGATAGTTCAGAAACTATGTCAACAGCCTCTTCAGTGCAAGCACCAAGAAACTTACAGAGCAACGTGTGGGAAATGGAGAATCCACAAGAAAATAAAGGAAACTTTCAAAAATCTTTAGATCAAATATTTGAGACACTGGAGAATAAAAGTCCTAATTCTGTTGAAGATCTGTTTTCAGAAGTTGACAATTCTTATTATGATCTTGATACTATGTTAACTGGCATGATGAGCAACACAAAAATGGGACACTGTGATAATCTTGAAACATTTTCTACTCCAACAAATACAGCTTCTAACTCTAATTGTAAATCTGATCTTAATGACCTTGATCATATTGTTGAAATCCTTGTTGAATCCTGAACCTCATTGCATAGGAGGTAAAGATCTGTTAATGGGAAGAAAAGACTTGAGAAAGGAATTTCCACAGTTTGTTCTGTCAAATCTGCACGAGTATTTTACAGGTATCTATATATTATATAGATATATATGTTAAGAAGCACTTCATATTGCAAAATAGTGTTAACTCTTAAGGTTAACCTGTAACTTGTAGTGTAACAATCTGATTTATCCTCCACTGAACATTAAGTACATATGGACAAAATGTCTACGTTGGGGGTCCAAGGCTCTTGAAATTGGGTTCTTTTTACCAATTTCTTTTAGCCTTTGATAGAGGATATCCTCAGGGAGAGGGATTCTCTCATCTTATACTTCCCCCATAAAAATGGTAATAAACAGAGAGAGAAGTTGGATAATTGGTTTCCTATTTTCCTCTGGTTTCTACTTTGTTACACCACAAAACTCCTACCATACCTGCTGCTTCTGTTTTATGTCGCTACATGGCTCTTAAAGAGCAGTATGCAATAGTCTTTGTTATCCTTGCTAGCTTCTTCTGGGTTTTGCTACAATTTTTACTTCAGAAATAGTTTTAAAGTGTTTATTGGTGTTTAGATTTTTCCAGGTATTTTCCTAAAATATATTTTTTACTACAGATTTATGTCAGCTGCTGATTTAGTAACTTTTGATCATATCTGCAGTTGATGTATTTTTTGCAAGATTTTCAAAAAGGGATGTTTTTTTACCATGAGCTACCCAATGTAGTTCAGTAAAGTGTATGTAAATGTAAATATACAATTTTATACTTTGCATTAAAATGTAAGAGCTGTTTTCATGATTCTGTTTTATAGCGTAGTACTTTACTAAATTGAGAATTGTACATTTATGCTTTTCATACCCCACATATTTGAGTATCATTATAGGAAGAGCTTTGATCTAGCTAGACACAATTACATTTAATTCATTTCAGACCATACTTTTTGTTAACTACAAACCTAAATGATGTAGGTTTTTATTTATGTGTATTTATATGTAAATGTCATCAAGTGAATTGTTTATCATTGAAGTCTACCATCAAATATTTGTTTATATGGGATAACTATCTTGCACTAATTACTACAAAAAGTGTTACTGGCGGCCTTTAAGTCTCACTGGTTGGAATGTCATGATGTCTTGTCATAATTAATATGCCCCACTCTTACCAAGGGTTTCCTTTTGGCTTTTTTAAATAACAAAAAATGTAATACAACACGGGATGGTGGTCTTTTTTTCCAGTGCATTTGGTTTAGAGTGTATATAACTAAGCTTCTTCCTAGGAGGCTTTTTGGGGGGAAAGGGATAATTTGAGTATAGCCTATGATTTTATTCTAAAATAACAAATGTTTACCATCAGAAGCTGCTACTGGGGAAAAGCCCCAAGCTAGCAGGGAGCAGGGAAGGGAGAAAATACGGATTGGTTTCAACATTGGAATATGTTGGCCGTGGCTGTGTCAGGGGAAGACATCTCTCAGTAACGTGGTTGTTTTCTGTAGATCTAAGCCAAGCAAGTTGCTGAACAAGAAAAGAAAACCTTGCTGTGTGTGACAGGCTCTGCCTTCCCATAAGTGACCTTACCTGTGGTGCAGGTTCTCAAACCTGGGAACAGGATTGGAGGTGGGGGTGCCAAAGGGGTGTTAAGAACATTTGAGTATCACTTCAAGAATAAGGAGACCACTGAGCTTATGTGCTTTAGAATCATCTGCTTTGAGGAAAGATCATATCATTTAGCTAAATTTTACAAACTCGACAGTTGAATGCGTATGGGCTCCATCTTCTGAAACCATGCATTTGGTGTGAGTCTCCAGTGAACTGGAAGATGTTTCCTTATATTAGATTTGGCATAAGATAATTTGTAGTTGCTGTAGTTAAACTTTGCTTTCTCACTTAAATTAATAACTTCACGTTAAAGCACCAAATAGCATATAGGTACTTGCAAGTTCAGTCTGTAGGATATAGCTGGACCAAAGAGAATTTTGCTCATGCTACATGTTTTAATTGAGAGATCACTCATAGGTATTGCAGTAATAAATGCTGATTTGGCAGGATCCAAATACAGATACAAACTGTCATATCTCACAGTGAAATAAAGCTGGCTTGTTTGGTAGTGTTTCTTGTAGTATCAGAGATTCCTTAAAAATCATAAATCTGCAGGTAATTTTTCTTGATGCTTTTTTGTGCATGAACCGCTGGACTGGACTGCAGGTGCCTTAGGGGGTAAATCAGAAAGCCAGGCAGTTTCAGAGTTTTATAAAGGGAATATCAACATTGATTGGAATAACTAAATGTCTTACTTTCCTCTGGGAAACTCCCAAAATTGCTCTGAACTGTGTTGAAAAACCACAGGTTTGAGCAATTATAGATGTTCCCCTCTGCCTCCATACCCTCTATTTTCATTAAATGAGCAATTTTGTGTTAAGATATTTTAAAAATGCTCTTCCCCACCTCCATGTGCATCAGTCTGCATGTTACAGATAGGAATCAATATAACTTGTTCATAACTTAAACTGTGTCTCAAATGCACATGTGTGTATTTATAACTCTACTATTGTTAAAACAATTTATAGAGACTAGCTGGATTAACAGGAAATGTGTTAGGTAAGTAGGCATATATAGAGTTAAGCATTTAAACAGAAATATATATCCTATTTTATTACATTCTTAAGACTTATGCCAAATCTTATGTGCTCTTACAAGCCTGGTATCTTGGCTCAGCAGGTATAATAATTGTTATTGCTGAAACTTGCAGAGTCACCATGCAGAACTGATGGGTGCCTACAGCTGGTTTGACTTTGCAGAGACCAGTCTGTAAAATCAGCTTGTCTCCCTGTTGGTTTAATAATGTGTCTCAATCTGATTCAGCTTCTCATGCTTTGCTTCTCCTGGTGGTAAAAAAAAAAAAAAAAAAAGGAATAATAAAAATGTAATCTTATTTTCTAACCGCCATTTCATTTCTTTAGTAAGGTGTTGCTAAAAATGTTAGCTGGTAGGGATTTTCTTAATTTCTGTTTGTAAATGAGAAATTAAAAAAAAAAAACAATAAAAATGTAGCCTCTTAAATTAGGAAAAGCTTGTGACAAATTCTGCTGCCACTCCTAGGACTTTGTACTCCTAGGGAAGTTGTGAAGCTTGCACATCATCAATGCCATGTGTCTGACAGGGCTGTTGGTCTGCCTGGTGTCACTGGGCTGCAGACCTGCACAAAAGCAAGCACTGTCAAGCACATAGCTAATATCCAATCTGCTTCCTTTGCAGGTAACACTGGGTATCTGTCCCCTTCTTCTGTGCATGTGGTTTTATTTCCCCTTTTCCCTTGCCGGAGAATCAGAGCTCAGGCATTCTGCAAATGCAAGAAGTGCAAGGATCCAGGGTGCTGTAACCATGGCTTGTCTGCTTATTGCTTCTGTGTTTGTGTGGTGTTTGTAGGTTTCTTTTAACCCCCTCTCTCTGCCACAGCTCTGGGAGTTTGCCTGAGACAAAAGTGCAAAAGACATCATCTGTCTCTATGCTTGTCTCTATGACTGTAGCTGTATTTGCCTAAAGGACAAATTTAGTCAATGAAGAGAGAATCTGGTCTTTGAATAAAAAAAGCACCTTTCCTGACCAGACTGCCTTGGAGGTGCAGCAGGGAAGGGTTTCAGCCTGGAGCAGTTAGGGATTCACACGTGAGCTGAGCCCTCATACTCACCAGGAATTACCTGTTCTCAAAGCTGTCCTCAGACTTTTTTTGAAGTTCGGGTATGTCTGGGCTGCTTTAGTAAGCATTTTAAAAGGCATTTTAAATTGGCTGAGAGTATAGTTTAATATTGTAATTACCAGACCATTATAGATTTTTTGTGTCTCAGAATATTGATTTGCGTGACTGCCTTGCAGTCCTGCAACTTATTCCATATTACCTTATAAGTAAACAAACTGAAAAACTAGAATGAAAAAAACCCAACACATTTGTTTTCTGACATCTATGATACAGCAAATAAAAATGCTTTCAAAAATTACTTCTGTTCAAAGTGAAAGTATGCTTGTGTCTCAGGCCTAGAATGTGTAGTCCCATATAAAAAAAAAGAGACTGATGATGACAAATTTTGTTCGCTCATCAGTTCTTAAGTGAGTGTTATTTCATGCTCTGTGACTAATACTAAGAGTACAAAGCCACCCCATGACACTAGTGAAAAATACAAAAATTTCATTATTTGACATGCTTTTCATAAGTTTGTATGGTAGCTCTTCCTTTAAAAAACAACAATAATTATTCATTTGCTTAACTAACATTCCCCCAAAATGAGTGGTTTATGACTTGAAGAATTATTGTGGTAAATATTCAAACATGACGAACATATCAACAGGAAAACCTAATGCTGGAGACTGCTTTGCATTGCCAGGGAAATATTTCAGTAATTTCAACTGTCATCTTTTTAGGCAAGAGTAATTGAAGATACAGGTGATTACAAGACTTCTTGCAAAACCAGAATTAAACAGAAATTGTATTCCCCTGTATGCTGTATTTGGAAGTCCCCATGGAGCTTGTGGGAAGTGCAAGTATGTACTGCAATAGTAAAATGCTGCAGCAAAGGAACCGCATATGCTATTTTTCATGTTCCATTTACAGACAAGATTTGGAGAGGAAAAGAAATGTACCAAATAATGCAACTTCAACCTGGGGTTGTGCAAGCTTACAAAACAGGACTTCCAAGGGGAAGAGCAGGTATGTTGATAAAAAACAAACTCAAAAACCAAGAGTTTAATACTTAAAAAAAAAACAGTACTTGTAATGAATTCACTCTTCTGTGTTTGAAATAATTTCTGAGAGAAAGGCTAGATATGGAAAATACTGGGTGTTTGGATTATTTTGTGTCCAGTGAGCTGACTGAAAGTTTAAGACAAAATTTCTGAATGGTTAATTGTTTAAATTGAAGCTCAGTACCATAGTTTACTTTTGTGTCTCTGCTTTGTTTGAAAGGTATAGGGGGAAAGTGCTTTTTCTTGTAAATTATGATTCCTTTGACAAAAGAGAACAATGGCTAATTTCCTACTCTGAGAAATATTCAGTAAGGTGTTAGGTTTTGTAATAAGCATCTTGTGTCATAGCTTTTTCTAATAAATTTGAGTAACTGTCTAGGATTAGTTTGTTCACAGCGGCTTTACCACCAAAAAGAGGTGGTAAAACTAACCAGGCTTTAGTGCAGCGTGCTCTGCCTTTCTCACTTTCCTGTGGAAGGATGGCATATATGGGATCATTCTGCCACTCAGCTTTAGAATAGCTAATTTATTTCAATCAAATCTGGCAGATCTCACAGTCACTACATTTTTAGAATGTATCCAAGTGTGGAGATACCAGAAGAAAACAGCATTCTGTACTGATATCCAGTAATTCAGATAAGGGAGAGACATAAGTTTCCAGGCATGACACCAGCTTCAATTAGAGCTCATACCTTAGATACAGAGTAATTAATCAGAGGCATAAATCCATAGGAAAGCAGTCTTCATTAGTTCCTGTGTTGCTGGAACCATGTTTTTGAATAGATGCCGAGTATGAAGGTAAGAAGAAGTAGCAAACCTCCGGCTTTCCTTTCAGATGAGTTATATAGAGACATTGATTGGTTTGAGGGTTGTGTTTTTTCCTGGTTTATGCAAAATTTGCTGCAAAAGCAAATATGCTGCTCGTGAGAATGGCATCCTGGACTGCTGCAGTGAGTACAGACATTCTGAAAGGCCGTGTTTAAATCATTAAAAAATCATATGCAATCCTGTTCAAGTCAAAATGGGAGAGCATTAGACTCCTAGAACATGACCTCATTTGAGAACATAAGGGCCTTTTAAAGGAAGTTTTTTGTCAAGAAAGACCTTATATGCATGCTCAGACCTCTGAATTCACTGTGTGAGACAAGCATGGCTCCTCTAGCACATAAGATGCTAAATATTTCCAAGCTAAACGAGGTTCCAGTTCTTTTATGTGAATTCTACTGTTAACACAAAGAAGTGACCAAACCCTTTGCAAATAATCACCATATTTTGGGTCATTTCTGTTAACTTCAAGTGTTAAGCCATGAATCCAAGGTTGTGATGCATGCATTTAAACAACTCCAGGTTCCTTTTTTCAGTACCTCTTGTCAGAGCATGCTTGAAACAACTGTCCTTTCTAGAAACACCCGCTATAGAAGGCACATTCACCCTTTCCTATTGCACAGAACAAAAATTGCTCACAGAACCTGACTA